AGAGATGCACTTCAGCAAGGTATTTCAAGAGAAACTTGTCATTGATCATTTCAGTATTATACATGGTCTGGAGTTCGAACCAGGTCTTACTGAAAACTAGTGCCTAGACAGGTCAGTATAGCTACAGAGTACAAAAAGTAAACATCCAGTCCTATAAATAACATAGAGAACTCAAGTGAGCCAATTTATCTAACCTTGGTACAAATTTATCACAGCCAAACAGATGCTTCACTTTAACCATCTCTAAAGATCCATAGTGCTTGCTACAGCTTTCTGAAGATGATGAATTCAATCGGACACATAACAGGTTGATAAATCAAGGTTGTGATGTTATGTATTGATACCAGCCCAATTTTTGAAAGCTACCAGGGCTTCCATTTTCCTGAAGTTTCGCTTTCTTAGCTTTGCCACTTTCAGTTTCTTGTGTTTTTCCATGAATGCTTGCTTATACCTCCATTTATCAATAAATATTTTGAACTCTTGCGCCTTTTCAATCACCTGCATCGCCATATCAAAGAACCCTCCTTTCACCAAAGCATAAAGAAAGGCATCAATCAACTCATGATTGAATTCAGTCCCCTTCCTCCTCACTTCTGTCCACAGTATGAGCACACTAAAGTATTTCTCAGCTGAGACATAACCATTGATGAGTGAAAGGTATGTCTGATTATTTGGTTCAAATCTAAGGAATACCATCCTTCGATATGTTCTTCTAGCATCCTCTAACCTCCCGACCTTGCAGAAAGCATGTATTATTGAATTCCAATCATGTGTAGCAATCTCTATTCTCGGGTCATCAACCACTGAGTCCAAGAAGGAAGCCATGAGGCCAGGCTTGTTGTTTTCTGTCAAGCCTGTCATTATAGTAAGATAACTTGTCCTAAGTTCTGGTAGCCTTGCCTCCCTCATGTCCTTGAAAAGAGCAAATGCAGACTGGAAATCATGGTCTGTCATGGAAGCATCAATAAGAGCATCATAACTACCAGCATCAAGCTTTAGCCCGTCTGCACTAATTTCTGCCACAAGCTGTGCAGCCTCTGCAGTTTTATGCTCCTTGCAATAGGCTTTCAAGATCGAAGAGTACACACCAAGCCCTATAGAGGCTCCTTGAGCTGTCATTTCATCGAGTAAGCTATGAGCTTTGTTCAATAGGCCAAGCTCAACACAAGCATTGACAATCCCAAACCCAACAGAATCCTCAACTGACATAGATTGCTGAGTGAGCTCAATCTCATGTGCTCGGATGATCAACTGAGCTAGTTCCTTAATCCTTGCATGATCAACAAAGCACTGGGCAACCTCACTATAGGTTTCCTCATCAAATCCATTGTCATCCCCAACTCTCCGCTCCTTCACTGCACGAAGAATGATTGGTGAAACTGACTCGAAGTCACCAGATTTGAGGTACCCACTAACCAGATTCTTGAAAAAGTCCTTCTTGCTGAAGCCCAGAGCATCAAGCAATGTATCGAGCTCATCAACCCGACTGCGAACACCTCTCCAAGCATACAGGAAGGCGAGGCACCCAAAGCTCTCTACATCTGGCGAGACCCCAACCGCCGACATAGTCTCCAGCACCCGCTCCGCATCTGCCAGCGAACCTAGCTCGCGGCAGCAACCAGAAAGGACAGCATTGCAGGCAGCGCGGTCAGGGCGCATCACCGCCGCCTCAGCAGGGGACTTCTCCTCCACCACGAGCTTGCAGGCCTCGTCGAACACCTTTAGGAAGGCCGCAAAGGCGCCCGGGTCGGCGCGGGTGAGCTCGATAAGCGGGTGTCCCCAGACGGAGAACGCCGGGAGGCGGCGCCCGCAGCGGAGCATCGCGCACACGAGCGCCACCGCCGGGGCGGCGGACCCCGCCGCGGCGAGCGCGGAGAAGAACGCCCCGAGGGCTGGCTCCGGGACTGGCGCCGCGTGCGGGCTCTTCTCCAGCAGGAAGACGGCCGCGGCGAAGGCGCGCGCGCGAGGCCGAGCCGGTGCTGACTGGCGGCGGCGGCGGCGGCGGTGGGGAGACGAGCGCCGCCGCGACGTGGGGCGAGGGCGAGCGGGATGCCGCGGCCAGGGACTTGAACGCGAGCCACGCGTCGTCCGAGCGGCTCTCGGCGACGGCGGCGAGGAGGTCGGACTCGAGCACGGCGGCGTCAGCGACGGGGAGCGTCTTCCTGGGGGCGGGATCATGGGCCCCGGGGGACGGCGGCGGCGGCGGTTGGGGCCTGGGGCGCGGCGCGAAGATGGATGGCTGGAGGAAGGAGTAGATGGTTGGGATCTCGTGGGGCTCGGAAGAGGAGGACGAGGAGGAGGTCTTCGCGATCAGGGGTAGAGATGGCCGGCACCGGAGGCGGAGTAGAGCGCGCATTGGTGGAGGCGCCTTGCCGTTGAGGTGTTCGACCGTTTGCCTAGGAAAGCAGGAAGCGAGAGAAGTGCCGAAGAACGGGGAAGAACGGAAGCTGGGCCACAGGACGATGCTGGAGCGCTGTTGGCTCATGATCCGGGACATCGAGGGGAACCGTCCGATGTACAATTAGGCGGCCTGGATCTAAGGGGAACCGAGAGCGTGCGTGATGAGCAATGGCGGAGGTTCTAAAGATGGAACGTGGTTTTGGTGGGATGGGTCGTCTCTTAACAGCCATGTTCACGAGAGAACGGAAACAGAAACTTTGATTATTATTTTATAACGTGAGAATGTAAGGGTTCTCGAATCGAAAATATAGATCTTTCAAAATTTTGAACGTAGCCATGTTCTATATTTTCGGCTGTCAAGGGTCGCCCTAGTTTTTAAGGACGGATAGATGGGAGGATCTCATTTATATGTTTTGGTTGATAAGGAATGATTGTCTTGTTTTCTATTTAGTTTGAAGATAAGAAAAATAGAAACAGCCATCTGACATATAGAGCTCACTTGCTAGTCTTTTTCTTTCTTTCTTCTTCCTTTCAGCGTCTTGGCTTTCATATGCACGCATCTACTGGAACAACGAACACCAACACCGAGTCGTTGGCCATGGGCGCTCACGACAAGGTAGAGCACATGCAGTGAGGCTGGAGCAGAGCTCGCTAGCACGGCGACAGATCGACTATGTGTGGCAAGGCACTGGGACCAAAGCTCGCCCAAACAACAGCGGAGCCGGGCTCCGATCCAAAGTGTCAGGTTCCACCCCGTTGGCCTCCTCCCGCATCCCTGGCCCCGCTCCTGCGAGCTCCATTCCCGCTCGACGACCTCGCGAACTTCTTAAGCGCTCAATCGAGCCCTCAGATCCGCGCCGCCCTCTGCCACCCACGCCCTCCACCCTCTGTTGCACCAGAAGTTCCACCTCGCCCCCATGCAGCCACCACGCCTACGTACGCCTCCTCTTCTCCACCGCACATGTGTAGCGCTCGTCTCACCTACGACGACTCTGTTCGTGAAATTTTTAAAGATGAGTTGAACCCACCTCTCAAGGGTATATTCCAAATCTCATCTTCAATTGTCTCCTAGCCGAACACCATATGAAAGGACATCCCAGTGGGACAACATCCTCCAACCAAAGATTCATTAACAAGATGGACATTCATTAACAAGATGGTACGTCGGCTGCCGACTCATTGCACCTTCTGTTTTAGCGTTTGTTCGGTTAATGTCCAATCCGAGAAAATTAAAGAAGAATTTAAGACTAACAAAACAGAATTAAAGACTAACCGAACAAATACCCAAGCCCATTGCATCACAACTCCATGCAAAGCCTTTGGAATCCTACGTTCATGCGCTACGGACAGAACTCCAGACGTCAAAGCTCAATCCATTTTAGTACGCGTCTACCTGCACGATCAAAGCTTATTGCTTCGTCGGTCGGCTTAGGTTTTGCGTCTAGCACTCATAGTGCCGTCGCCGTCCCCCGCCTCCACCACTGTTGGTCCCTCTCCCTCCCCCTCCGACATATCGCCGGAGGCCGGAGGGAACGGGCATCCATCGTTTTTAATAAGTTTTTCCAGTAGATCGAGTCCTTAGGGTTAGGGTCTCTCGATGCTAAGTTTCTTTGTTGTGGAGATTTATCTCCTCTTCCTCCCCCTCCTCTCTGGCGACGGTGAGAGGGTAGGATTGAATTGTTTTCTTCATGACGACTCTGTTGAAGATGAGGGCGACAACTACGGCATCAGCATTGTCACTAATGTGACATGGAGACTTTTATTTTCGGACGGCGACATCAAGACGGAGACGGTGTCACCTCCATGGAATAATTTTCTCCGGTCTCTTCTCTGTTTTATCGTGGTTAGATATGGCAATGATGAACAACTAGGGAGATTAAGTTTCACATCGTTCTTCCTCATTTTTCGGTGACAGAAAGAAGAAGGAAGACACTAGAAAGAAAAAAGTTTCTCAACTCCGCCTACATGAATGTTGGTTGTCGTTCGTTGGGCATCTATTCTCAGGCCTTTTGCCAAATGGTTGCCTGTCTGGTCATCCATACTGCAAAGCGTCGTACAGGTTTGGTTTTGAGATCTGAAACTATTCACAGCGTGGATACAATTTAGATAAAAATTAGTTCCTGAATATTTATGTAATCCAAAGTGCTTGTAACATGTTAATGTACCCAGCTATTATCTAATATAATTCTTCTTTCGAAAAAAAAGGTTATTGCTTCGTCTACCGACGCGATCAAAGCGTCATCAAAAAGTATTGCTTCGTCTACCTGCTATCAAAGGCTGTTCTTGCTGCCGCGTGAAGTTCATTTAGAATACTGCAAGCATAGGAAGAAACAAAGGCAAACGAACTTGCAACAACTTGAGACGGATGGAGAAAGAAACGCAAAAGGCAGCATTACAGCATTTGACCATGCAGCAGCACAACTTGACATACAGTCTGCACAACAATACAATACAAATGCACTGTTTCCTCCATGGAACACGTAGAAACATTATGCAATAAACAGACCAACAAGCACAAGAGCACACACGGCATAAATATCAAAATCTCTCAGCATCATAATTGTGTGATCAAAATTGCCCCGCTCCCCCGGGCACACAAATCAGCTACTATAACAACATATTGTGTGATCAAAATTGCAACCATTACATGGTGCAAGCAAAACCCATTTAATTTAATACCTTTCCGCCAACCTAGCTGATACAGCCCTTAACTTAGAATACACTTTGCCAGCAGGAGAACCCAAGATGAGACTGCATAGCGAATCTCGTGCGACCTTGATGTTAACAAAGGATCCAAGTATATGGATCTTTGTATCAGCGATAACGATGCGGGTCCTGGTAGAGTTCTCAATGGCGTACTTGGTCTTGCCTCCTTTCCCTGATAAGCGGCCGATAGCACGTGACAGATGCTCCCCTCGCAGGGTCTTCACATCCTTGATCTCAAAGGAATCCACATACAGGTCATCAAGACGCAGCAAAGCAACGGCATCAGCAATGTCAAACCCAAGCATAAAAGCATGCACAAAGTCCGCACATTTCTGAAGGTTGCTGACATCTGGTGTGTCTCGCCTTGTCTTTAGCTCCACCCTCCTTGCCTGGAACAGAGGAAACGGTTTAATGGGCCTGACAGATATGATGCAGCCTACACCTTGAGCATTCAACATTTGAGTAATAGGCTTACAACATACTCCCTCTGTCCCAAAATTTATGACACTTTAGCAATGAATCTGGACAGAGTGTCATCTACCTTGGGACGGAGGGAGTATTTAAGTAGAAAACAATAGCAGACAGCCAGACATTTAAGCTCAGAGCCAACAGACTAAAAGGACATGGACAAACCAGTTGAGTCATAAGCAATTATCAAAACAGAAGCGACTACAATATTGTGGTTTAGTTTGCAACGGCTCAGGCAACATATGCAAGTAGAGAGCATTCATCACATCAAGTAATTATTTTACTGAGGCCACAAGTATGACCTTAAACTTAGCGACTACAATATTGTGGTTTTGATTGTGCATTACTTGCTTAGCAGCTAAGATACTATAATCAGAAGAATGCTTGTAGAATTCCTAACTGGCTGGCATCAACAAAATATTCATCATAGAACTTAATCCAACAGATCAAACAAATTCTGCCTCAAATCCGTATGCATAAATGGAAGCTTTTGAGATTCAAATGTAGCCACGAGAATGAAATAGTGCAAGTAGAGAGCATTCATCACGTCAAGTAGTTATTTTACTGAGGTCACAAGTATGAGCTTAAACTTAGCGACTACAATATTGTGGTTTTGATTGTGCATTTTACTTGCTTAGCAGCTAAGATACTATAATCAGAATGCTTGTAGAATTCCTAACTGGCTGGCTTCAACAAAATATTCATCATAGAACTTAATCCAACAGATCAAACAAATTCAGCCTCAAATCCGTGTTGTCAATCGTATGCATACATGGAAGCTTTTGAGATTCAAATGTAGCCACGAGAATGGAATAGGAATATATAAAATGTCTATATTACTTCATACTTCAAATATATAAAATGTCTATGTATTACTTCAGAGTCTGAAACCAGCTATACACTTCAGAAGCGAGAACACCCAAGCTCAAACAGAATAAAGCGTGCAGCGTTGACGACAATAAATTGAGACTGGGCTATCCCTTACCTTGAGGTTCATGCGTATGTCGATCTTCATGTGCTCGTATACGGGTGTGTAGATTTCCATCCAGCATCGCTTGAGCGGCGCGAACCGGTGCTGCGGCACGGGCACTTTTTTCGGAACTGGGGCCTCCCGCCGTTCATCTCACTCGGCATCAGAGCATCGAACCGCGGCTTCTCCACGGCGGCGCCCGGCCCCGTCGGGTGGTCCACCGCCATCTCCGTGGAGGAACCCCCCGTCGCGGAGGCCATCGAGTGCGTTTTCAGCAGGGATTGACCTAGTAAAGGGACAAGGGTCAAATAGCCAAATAGGTTAATGTTAGAGATTGGGAACTCGGTTTCGCACAGCAGACAGGGAAGAGAAGGAGTGGGGATACCTGGTGGGCGCTCTTCGCCGGTGAAGATATCAGCGAAGGCCTCGGCACCTGGCGTAGGGCGGCGGCGTCGGTAGCCCACCCAGTCGTCGCAGACAGAGGGAGAGGGGGCGAGCGAGCGCACGGCGGCTGGCACTGGGATGGGGGGCGGAGAGGCTTGTGGCAGTTTAGGGTTTCTTCGCAGATATATATTGTAACTGGGCCTTTAATGGGCCTTTCTCCTTCCAAGCTGAGACGGGCGGTGCGCTTGGCAGCTGCATGAGAAGGGTAGTGACCACCGGACGTCCAGACGAACCGCCGCGTCCGGACGCCCATATCTGCACTTTATTTCGCGCGTCTTAGGGTGGAGTCCACGCCGCCCGAAGGTCGTCCGCATCGTCCGACCTTATGCGAGGACCGCTTGGGGTCCCTCCGCTTCTCCCGCCAAGATGTGTGTGCTCGCTTGACGAGGTCTTACAGCATGCGTCGTGGTTTTCATTGCAACACGAGCGACACCCGATCTAGTTTTGCAACATCTAGATACAACATTTAAAACAGTTAAAATACTTACAAAAATACTTGAAAATCATTATAAACATATACAATATCTAGATAAACACACTTGCAACATACGTCTGAAAAAATAGATAAAACATTTGGAACCGACTCTTGCAACATAAGTGTATAGCCATTGCAACATGTGCAACATCCCAATTTACTTTGGTAACATCCATCTGAAACAATTGAAACATATATTTGAAACACTTGAAACATATACTTGCAATATGCGCATCTTCCTGCCCTGGTGTCTTCAGCCGACCGCGGGAGATAATGTCCCAGCCGACGATGACCTTCTCCTGATGGCGCTAGGGTGGTGGTGGTGGGGTGCATGTCGTGCCCGCAACAGTCGAGCGTGGAGTGGGGCCTAGCTGTGGATGGACACGGCGAGCGAGCAAGGAGTGCGGCGCGGTGGGCGTACAGCGAGGGATAGGATGGGAGCGCGCGCGGGGGATGGCCATGACAGCGAGGCAGAGTGGCATGGGCGGACGGCCGCACGGCACGGTGAAGCACACGACGAGCGAGCGTGAAGTAAGGAGATATTTTTGAGAGAGATGTGGGGAAACATAAAGAGCATACATGTCTATTGGGTTGGTAACGCGTAGGCCCGAGAGGGTGGCGTCCAGACGGTCGGACAACCTGACCCAGCATTACCAATATGAGAACGGGGACTAGGTTTGGAAGTTAGATAGAGGGAATTAATATGAAATTAGATTTTGTCACAATCATTTTTGTTTGGTCTGGGGAGGAAAAATAAGGAAAGCTAAAGAGAGAATTTATATCTCATGCTTAGTCTGATGAACGGTGATTATGCACTCGTCTTTCATTAAAATCATGATTCTTACTCAATTACCACCCCTACAGAAGTTATTAATGAGAGTTTGCTAAACTCTTGATCTTCTTCCCACAAAAATTCCACTCCCATAAAATAAATACAAGAATTCCCACGAAAAAATCATACTCCCATGTAACAAACATAAGATTTCTAAACTCGTAACTCTAAACTCCCATTTTTCACATTTCAATTACCTCCGACCAAACCAAACGTCCTTTGGAGAAAGTCCTTCTAAGGTGCTGTTTGATTTGGATTTTTTAGCTAGACATGGTTCACACAGTGAACTGATATCTTTTGATTGCCCCAATCTATAAGCAAACATAGGTACTATCCAATACAATCTTGATCCTGCTCCTAACCTAGCATTATCCTTTTCCGCTACGCTCCTCTTCTCAGTTTTGACTTCTCTTCCTCGCAAGCCGCAACCCATGATTTCACACGAGACAACAATCTCCGCTTTTATGAACAAGAAGAAAAAGACAGCAGACAATCTATAAGAAAACATAGTTACCATCCAATACAATCTTGATCCCGCTCCTAACCTAGCATTATCCTTTCCCGCTCCGCTCCTCTTCTCAGTTTTGACTTCTCTTCCTCGCAAGCCGCAACCCACGATTTCACACGAGACAACAATCTCCGCTTTTATAAACAAGAAGAAAAAGACAGCAAACAAAGCACAGAGCACCAAGAACCATATAAAGAGCAACACCACCAGGAGCAGAGGGAGGAGTCTAGGGCGCCGCTAGCCGGGGCGGGCCACGGAAGGGTGATGTAAGGACCGTGACGCCTAAGAGGGTGGTGAATTAGGCAACTTAAAATTCTACTTCTAACTATGACCTTTAATTTTTACCTTAGCAAAACCTATGCAAATAAATAACTATCTAGATGTGCAACTACGGTTTTGCTAGTGTGTTGCTATCTCTAGGATGTAAACTCTGTCGATGACTCCAGTATTTTTACCGAGGTATCGAGAATTGCTCAACCTTCCCCTAGTTCTCGTTGG